CATTTCTTACCATTACCACAACTGGACCTCGTTAGTACGACGATTGTGGTAACGGTGATTGATATAGATTAAATTTAAATTTAATTATAAAATTAGTGGAAGTGGTGAAATTGTTTTAATAAAGTTATTATAATTGAAAAAAGTGTTTCGATCCATTAAGTTCTATACATTTCTTACCATTACCACAACTGGACCTCGTCAGTACGACGACTGTGGTAACTGTGATTGGTATAAATTGAATTTAAATATAAATTAGTTATGTTAAGTTGCAAGCATAACTCGAACTATGGCTGGAATAATGCTTTACTAGAATAGAATTGCAGATTTTTCTTTTGTCTATTGGCGACGATATCTTCCGGTACTGTTCATTTTCCTCACTGTGGCTCTTTGGCTGGCAATATTCTTTTGGCAACCGCACAAAGAGGAGCGTTTTCTCTTCCCGATCTACCCACTTTTGGCTGTTTTGGCTGCCGTCACTCTCGATGCATTGCCTCGGTAATTATTTACATACTGTAAAAACCCGCTTTGGTAATCCTCTGGTAGCTCCCCCTGTTTCATTTTAGCATACTTTCTCGTCATTTGACATTTTATCTTTTTGCATTTGACTAAATAACTTCGTTTGGTGGATATTCTGCTGCTGATTTTGACTTAATTCCCCTTTTTTATCTTTTTTTTTTATTTTTTTTTTGAAAAAAAATTCGGTTGTTTTGTGCTCCCTTGATCGTGTAAGAGTCGCCCGCTGGCTGTAGGAAAAAGTTGTCTGCTAGCCGAATGAACAGTATTCCGGACCTCAACATACTGAAGGCCACGTTAATCGCTAACTGAATACATTGTCCTTTAAATTATAACATAAAAAGAGGAATGAAAATTAAAAATAACGAGTACTACTGCATTTGTAAACTTAATACCGATATGAAGGTCACTGGGGCTTTTAGTGTTGGTATTTCATGTTTAGTAATGTTACTGGAATGCTTAGTAACATCGTTAAGTGTGCTTTAATTAAAGTCCTTTTGATTGAGTCTCTTTTTGAACCTTGACACACATACATACACACACACACACACACGCACACACAGATGTTGTCTGAGGGGCGAAGATACTTTTTTTTTATGCATACTTTCATCGTTTTTTTTGATTTAAAGTGCTTAAGCAAATTACTAGGGCACTGTATTACTGTAGGGCCGAGGACTGATTTTTGAGATTTTTATCTTTCCAACTTGCCTGATCGGCGGATTGAAACTGTGTGAGGGACGTAGAAACACACACGCAGGCAACGTAGAAGCACACACGCAAACACACACACATACACACACATGTACATACACATACACATACGCAGGCAGATGCATATAGTTTTCATCTACATGCATCTTTGTAAGTGAAAAAATAGTATTTGAAAATAACCAGCATATGATGAAGCTGGAACGAGTGTAGGAAGAAAACGCGTCAGAAGGGTGTAAAAATAAGTTGTCCGATCTCGTTTTTATTTTTTTTTTTTTTTTCGCCTTTCAACTGCATTTGTTGAAGTGAGTTTCGCAGAATCTGAAAAATTATGAAGGCCACTGCCTTGGTATCTGATCGTTCACTGTATTTTTAGCGTCGGTGTTTATCTGCTGGGCGGTGGATCGAGGAGTTTCTGGCAAGGCTGCATAGCTATGTGGCTGCTGATCTTCTCAGTACTTTCCGTCTCACGCTCCGCTGCACTTTATCGAAATTTTTCGGCACCTGTGGAAGTTTTCAAAGGATTAAATGAGCATTTGGCAAGCATTTCCAATCGCAACATTTCGCATTTTACAAGAAATGTGAGTTTTTTGCTCTTTTGCTTCAGCCTTGGGCGTGATGGTTTTGATGGATAAGCGAATTTTTCGCCGGGAGATTTAATAATTTTTAAAAATTAGACAAGAAAACTTACTCGAAAACTAAACCTGAAAATATATGATATTTACGGGGTTGTCTGTGTGTGTGTTTGTGTGTGTGTGTGCGTGTGTGTGTCCGCAGCAACTTGTTCAAATTCATGTGCTACTCTCGAAATCTACCGATGTACTGGCAACGTGCGTTTCTTTCATGCCCTTATTTCCGCCAGTGAAAAACTAATCGCTTAACCGGTTTTTGAATTTTTTTGATGAGAAATTGGTACTGGCTCATGCCGGTGAATGTAGCTGCCGTAAGCGT